AGTGATAAGCCACTTTCCTTGCAAGGTTATTCCTTAATACCAAGAAGGTCATTAAATGTCAAATGGAATTCAAAATTCATTACAAACTTAATACAATCAGATAAAAGGAATATAAAATTGTTGATATCTTTGTTTATTAGATTTTTAAAGATTTGTAATTTGAGAGAAAGACGAAATTTTATTCAAAGGTACCTCTTCTTCTTTTAATTTCTTCATCAATATTATTTATCAGACAATCAATCATTTTTCTGGAGGGAGAAATATGATCAACTTTATATTTCTTTAGTAGAAAATAACCCACCATGGATGTGTATAAGCAGGATGTCCCTTTACATGGAAATAAAGCTAGAAATTGACAGTATTATGTCCCTTCAAGTAGATTTTCAAAACCGACATGTCATGCTCTTTAAAATGTACATGATTTCTCAAATATCTGATCTAATCAATGTATTGTACTATTTAAATTTAAAAACTTTTAAAGAGAAAAGCTTAACACAGATATTCAAATATACTATTTCTTTCAAAAATCATATACCACTCTCCTTACCCCTCCCAAATCTCTTCAACCCCTATTTTGACTCCTAAGGCCTTATGTTAGAACTGTAGGCGCCATGTCTGTTTTTGTTACTATAAAATTGACATGTGAGTGCAAAGACAAACAATACATGCTGCATTGACATTTCATATTCTTCAAGTTAATCTTTTGAATTGTACGTTTAATCTGATTTATAACTGACACCTTTAAATACTTGTACTTGGTTGATTTTTTCTAATAACCTAATCTACATGATAAGGGAAATATTCTGATATTTATATCTGATATTAAACAATACATTTTCTTACAAGTTTGGCTATTGAGTTTATCATACAATGGTTACTATACAAGTGCTATCAACACTACCTTTTAACTTTGAAATAGAAAAAAAAGAGAGCAAAAACACACTTTCTTTTAAGGGTTACAGTCAAAGTTTTGCGTCTACTAGATTTTCTCCTTTCATAAAAGGCTAGCGATTGTATGTAAAAAAAAGTCATATTTATAAACGTTTAGATCGAGTAGAAGAACATAACAATTCAATCTGGCTCACTACAATGGCATATTGATTGTTCTATGAACAGCTTTTAAATTCAATACTACAATTGATCTCTACTTTTATCTTCAGCTTCATTTTAGTTAGCTTTTCTATTAACTTAGCTCCATACAAACAAATAAAACCCTCTTAATTAGGAAAAATATCTTCAAAAAGCCCTCAGATATAACAATTGTACATGGACTTAAATCATTGAACAACATTAGATACTTAACAACATGCATTTAATGTGATTATTGTTCAAACACATCCAATAATACTGGATTTATATAGAAGTGGAGACACTGGTACCTTTTAATGGCTTCATTGTGTTGTTTTTTCTTTTAAAAGGATAAATGAATAGTGTATTATTAATAGCCAATACCATACTGTACTGTATGAACTAAAAGTAAACATTACTAAATAATAGTGAGCACGGGGATGATTCTCATAGTGATGGGCGAGGCTGATAAACGCATACAAATATGTTCAAGTTTTGCATACATAAAAATATTAATTATCTAACCTGTGTTAAAGAATTTAATACGTGTGTTTGTTCTGAACCCAAAAAACTATTACATTCATTTTTTTGAAAAATGTTATCCTTATTCATTGTGTATTAAAAGATGAAATAAAGGCTAACACAATAACTTGTTTTGAAAAGTTGATGCACCAGTAGTTCTATTTTCTTTCTAAAAAATTTATTCAAAGGTTGCAGTAAGGTTCTCTTTGGAGACAACTTACTGGACTGGTGTCTCAAAATCCATTTTTCCTCCAGTCAACCTCTTTCCTTTCACACTTTTCATTAAAGTTACATGGAAAATATCTGTTTTTTTACTGGTAATATAAACTGATTTAAAATTCAACCCAGCCAGATCATTTTTTAAGAGCATAAAGCTATAAAACATCCCCTTCAACTCAAAAAAGACATCTTGAGATATTTGTGATTTACGCCAGCTATCCAGAGCCAGAGAACTTTACTCCTCTGACAATTTGTCAGCTGAGACCTGGGGAGTACCTAAAGTTTCAAAAGGTTTCTCTTTATGACTTGTCAAACAATCCCACATTTTTGGATGTTTTTCTCTCGAAAATTCAGTGAAAGGAGCCAAAACTTGATACACAGCTCGGAATTTCAGTAGGTTTGCTCCTAGCAAGTTTTTAAAAAATCCCCAAATTTCTGAACTTTTTTTTCTAACAATACTTTTTTCAATATTTACATATTTTAGAGATACAATCTGAAAACAAGCCGGAGCTTATATTAATCCAGATAAGCTATAACTCTGCCAAATATTGATTTTCCAGAGTGTTCCTTCTTATGAAATTGTTTTCCCATAAACTCTGACTGGTCATGTTTAAAGAATTATGGATGAGAAGTTTTGACAATATACTACCACATGTGGGCATGTGAACATCTATCACGGAATTGAAATGGGGTTTAATGTTCTACTGCTTCCAGGCTAATGAAGACGGGCATATGCCATGCAGTGTGCTATGATGGAAATTTTGATCTGACAGCACCGCTACGACCTACTCTTATATTGAATTCCAACTGCCAAGGGTACTTTTATTATGTGCACGAAAATGCGTACATGGGACCTTGGTCGGTGTCTGTGATTCTCCTAAAGTAGCGAATGGCGAACACAAAAAAAATTGGGATAATGCGACTTGATGATCAGGGTACCTTTATTCCCTGCATATTTTTAATTCTGTTGTAACAATTAGAAGTACTGGAAAATTCCCAACGAAACGAAGAAATGTCATGTGCTGTAAATATGAGAAGGTGTATATTTTAAATGCCATTTAAAGACATGTATTCTATTCACTCAATTCATTAAATATTCGCTTATATGTGTTAAAAATTCTACGCTGATAAAATTTTATTCATTATCTACAGTTTTTCCACTAAAATTAGATTTCAAGATAATTTAATCTCTGAGTTCTCTCCTAACTTAAATATGAATGGGCAGATTCATATTCATCTGAATTGTTGTATACTTTGTAATGTAAACATGTGGGACTAAACCTATTATCTTGAAATCTAATTTTGGTAAAAAAAACTGAAAATAATAATTATTATTTCATCAGAGTAGAATTATTAACACAAATAAGCAAATATTTAAGGAAATAAAGGAATCAAATTGCATTATCCCTATTTTCTTGGTGTTCGACATTCACTGTTTTAGGAGAATCACCGACACCGGACCTTGGTTTCTCATTCCATCTGAAAGATTATACGTTGTCCCTTGCTAGGCCCTCCTTCCTGCACCACTGACAAGGGGACGACACCATGCCAGAAAATCCCGATGCAATTTCTTGGCCAATACCAGGATCAAACTAGCATTTATGTTAATAATATAAACACCAAAGGTAAGGGCATAGCTAGGACACATTTCTGCATCTCTTTCAACTTCTTTCTTTTCTTTTCTTGAGAAAGGGCATACACCTGTTGCCGAAAAAGAGGTAAAAACAAATATAAGACAATATCCCCATGACCATAAAAGGTCATTTATAGTAAATGAGAGCATCGCTATCGCTGCAATATACGTCCACATCCCTGCTTTGATTCATATGGTACTTTTTAAAATAAAGAAGGCTAGGCGTTGGGTTTGTTTTGCCAAATTTACTGACTAAATTTAACAAAAAGTGGGTGTGACATCACCCCTAGGGGTTGGGACATGCACCAAAATAAATGGTTGCTATTCTTATAGTATAAGAAATAAATAAGTTCCAAGATGTTCCATTCAGATTCGGAATTCCAGCCTGTGGACAAAAAACGCAAAAATTGGTTGTAGCTCTGCCCCTGGGAGTTGGACATGGGCCAATATAAATGTGTACAATCCTATGATGGATCATACTGAATTGGATCCAAATATATTTTAAAAAATGGAACCTGTAGATTATATACAGACAAAATATTAACAAAAAGTTCCAAAATAATCCATTCAGAATTGTGGCCTTCAGACGCTAAACACAAAAAAACGGGCATGGCTTTGTCATTGGGATTGGTACATGCACCAAAATCAATAGTTGCCGGCTATAAGGAATACATATGCCAAGTTTGAAGATGATTTGTTCAGAATTGCGACCAGTATACGATAAACACAAAAACTGGCCTTGGCTCTGCTCCTAGGAATCGGGACATGCACTAAAATAAGTAGTTGCTGTAGTTAGCCTACAAAAAATAATTATATCAGGTTCTAAGACGATCCATTAAACATTGTGGACTGTAGGGAACACACACACACACAAAGTAAAAATGGGTGTGGCTCAGCCCCTTGGGGTCGGACATTCACCAAAAACAATAGGATCATCCTTAGGGTATAAGGAATAGGTATGCAAAGTTTTGAAAGGATCAGTAAAGAATTGCAGCCCGTAAGCAACACATGCACCAAAAATAATAGAGGTCATCCTTAGGGCATAAGGAATAAGTATACAAAGTTTCAAGACAATCCATTAGGAATTGCGCTCTGTAGGCGACCCACAGACACGCACCTAAATACACACATACACAGACGGCGACGGCATAATAGGTCCACATTATGAATGTGGATGTATAAAAATGTTGCTAAGTTCCCTTTAGATTCTTATTATTTAAATACAGGTGGATAAAATATGGACACTTAAACTTTGTTAGATGTGGGGGGGGGGGGCACCACCCCTTGGACTTGTCCATTTTACCAGATTGTTTTTCCACCACAAATATCTAAAGTATTTCACTTTTAGTCATTTATGTTTGTAAAAGATAATACTGTAAATATATATTAATATAATATATTCGGCCATTTAAATATCATGCTTCTCCATTTATCAATTTAATTGTTTTGGTTACTTAAATCTTATGAATTGGAATTATACTTGAAATTTTCATAAGTAAATTTAAGCTATTTAATATGTATTAATTTTTAAAAATAGTTGGGGGATATATGAACTCACCTTACACTGAATTTTAGTTAACTAGTGGAATATAAACAGCTGCAAATGTACTGCATTCCAACATACATGAATTATTAAAGTCAATAAATCAGAGAAATCTCTGCCTCAATTTCTATCAATCCACCTGTTCATCATGGAGAAAAAATACTTTCCCAAGGTTTAGCTCAGTTCACACAACATTACACTACACAATACAACTATTACCCTTTCAAATATATTGTAGGAGAAAACCGCAACATAATAACAAAATGACAATAAGCTACAACTCAAGGAGTACTCGGCCGTGCACAACACTGACTGTTTTCAGTTCGACTATTGTCACAGGCCCTTAACAATTGTTTCTTTAGATATCTCGACCAGTATTCAAAAAAAAAAAAAAAAAAAAAAAAAAAATCACCAATAACATGCTTGCTCAACTTTAGATAGGTTGAAAAGATATAACATCAAAGATATGGTAGAAAATTCTATGGGTAAAAAATTATTTGTCCATCTAAACCTTTCAAAGAATCCAATAATTCTATTGACGAAACTCCATTCTCTATAGAGAGTAGATAATTGTTAGATTATAATACTCATTTCATATCCATAAATACCCCCAATACAATCAGATTCATATTAATAATACTATGATCATATTAATAGTCTTGTTCTCCATAGCTGACATACTAGTTTCATTAACTTTAATAATACATATTATTCAATACACATTGTTATCGACCACTTTTTAAGCTATCTTCATTTAATTTGAGGTATGTCACGCCTTGAAAAAAACCTATATAATGCACTCATCTAACTTTGATAGCATATTGTTCTCCTATGATTTCTTTGTTGAGATAAAGGGATTTAGAATAAATACTTCAATTAAGTGTAAAAAAGTATTATCTGAAGACATTTCCACTCATTATTTGCCTGAATTGCCCCATGGCATGGTAGCTAAATACGTCAAGCAAAGGTATTAACACGCAAGAGCCATAAGGTTAAAGTCAGATTTAATACAAATTTCAAAAACTTATTGTCAAATTTGAAAAAAAGGATTATTATCAGAATTGTGTCTCTAAGCTTTGTATGATCTTTTAGGGAAAAGATTGATAAAATGAATGTCTCTGATGCTTCATATGTTAAAATTCATAATTATGTATATTTGAATTATTTTTTTTATTATTTCATTGTGTATTTAATCATAATTTTAGCTTGGCATTTAATAATGTTGATTTTATAAAGCATTTGAAATGCAATTATCACTCAAAACTTCCCATTTTTCAAACCAATTTTTTTATTGCTTACATTGGTCTCACATAAGTTATATAGAGCACTTATTTGTAAAAGCCATTAATATATAACTTAATCAGTTTGTAATTTTTACAAAAACTATGTGTTTTTTCTCCCAAAATCTAGAACAACATAATTGTCATTATTGGAAATGTATTCAGAACCGGTTTCTGTAACAGAATCACATAGCATACTGTCAAGGGCTGTCAGTCATCTGCAGGGTGCAGCAAAAGCTTACAGAACTATTTGATTTTGGTTTATGCACAGGTTTGTGTCCAGACAAGGATTTCGATGAATCTACCAAATATTTATTTACGCCCTTTCAATAATTGAAATCATAATTGTTTAAATAAGCAGATGGACAAAATGATAATCATTTGAATATCAGTTATTAAATTTTAAAGAACTTTTACAACTGTGAACTTACTGAAATGATTGAAAAGGATTCAGAAAATATAAATGGATTTATTATGAGCTATGTACATAAATTAAAAAATTGTAAGATAATCATGCATAGGAAAATTATGTTAAGATTTATTAGCAACCTTTGATGCAAATAGATTATAATTTTCTTATCGACAGGTTTCACTACTGTCCATTCAGAATCAGACGATCTTCTCTTGTGTGGTTTTCCTCTTATTGATTAAAGGGCACAGACCTATAACACTGTGGTGTTTCTCAGGGCTCAGTGCTTGGACCAGTGCTGTTCATCCAATTACCAGTAATATCAAACTCCACCAACTTTTAGTTACTTTTTATTACTATTACATAATAAATTTTCCTCAATGTACTTTTGATAAAAACACAAAACATATCTTATAAATTCAAATAAATAAGATTACATTTTTAAAGAACAAAGGTTCCTTGATAATAATGTATTATGTATGTGTGTAGCAATGGAGTATTTTTTATGCACTCAAATTTACAATAATTTAGTTACTAATTTAAATACACCTGTTAAATTTTAAAATTCTTTATTTAATAGGATTACCTGAAAAGGATTGATATGGTTAATGAAAATTATTGCCTGAGGATAAAGAAAAAATATTACAAAGATATCTATTTATATAAAAGGTGGTTAAGTCACCAGATTAAAAGCATTGAATGGTATTGTGCTTTTTATTAATTTGTTACCTGTTTTTAATTTATATACGCCCTATATTGGCAAACAGTTTAAATAAAAACCATTTTAAAATGTTCAATGAAATGAATAAGGCAATAGGTCTATATCATTTGATGAAGCAAACATCCTTTTTATCTCACTTGAACACAATAAAAGAATAAAATATGAATCTGTTCAATGAATTGCAACAAGTCCTTTTCAACTGTGGTTTATATCTATCTATAGAAATACCAAAGATTATTTATTATTGTGGAGATAATGAGACTTTTCATGTGAAAAAAATATAGAAGCTCCTACATACCATATACACATCTCTTTTACCTCAACCAACATTTATGATGCGATCTTTAGTCTCAACTTTCCATTAAATCTTAATATTCAGTCAATAAAATACAGCACAAAACATGTACCGGGTATATTAATTTTTAGATTCAAAATAATAAATTTTATTTATGGTAAAAATCTATCCCTCCCCACCTATGTTGTATAATGAACTAGGGTAATATTCTGGATACAGTCACAAATATATCACATAATTAGTTAAATTAAATAAAATAATTATTTTTTATTAATTAAGGCAGTGTATACTGGGTTCTCTCCCATACCATGGGAGATGCTACAGTACCTCACATATTTATGTTTGGGGAATGATTGATCATGACAAGAGGAAAATTCTAAGTAGATTTGGAACAGGTTTTATTTGTAGCTATATAAACCATGTTGACAAATCTTATTATTCATTCAGTTATGAAAAGGTAGCTTATGACCACTGCAGGCTTTTTAAATTTACAAACACCAAGATTGAAATGTATTATCCAGTAACTGAAAGTCCGGTGGGTGGGTGGAAGAATCCCACGTACAGTACAGGCAAAATTGGGTGGATACAGCTGAGGGACAAAGGAAAGGTTCATAAAGTACTGCTGCCCAAAATGCATCCTGGATTAAAGAAATTTTGTTAAAATAAAATCTTGTTACTTTTCTTGGTTGGGGATTACTAACTTTGGGTTGCTTAATTTATTGTGGGGTTATTAGAGGGTGGAACAGATGATTCAATTTTGATTTAGGAAAAGGGAACACATCTTCAATAACTTAAGAGGAAAATATGTAATTTCATTTATCTGTATTACATTATGTAGATTATACATAGCCATTTGGTTAAAAAAATGATTTCAGTTTGGTGGACATGTATAATAACAACTTCAAAACGAATGTTCAAATCTATCTAAACGAATGAAATAATCATTGCAATTTTACAAAGCTAAAATACTAATTTACTCTCTTATCAATGAAGCATCATTTTTCCCATGAATATGTCTATATATCTTTACAAAACTATGCATTGTGGCTAAAATCACGATCAAGATCAACAGTTGAAATTAATAATAACAATGTTTAAAGGTAAGTTTACAATGACAACGACGTACATTAGGCGTACCCAAACAAATAATACACTATAAATGACTATATAGATCAATATCTTTTTATAATGGATGTTGTGCATGATTGTTATAATGCCATACGACTACCATTGTACAAAATTTTCTGAAATTGTTAAAGGGTACCAGTGGACCCTTGTCACAATTATGGGATATGTACACAGAAGGAATCATTTGATATGTATTTGTTCAAAATGGAAATAATACAGATAAAACCTTAGTGTCTGCCTTCAGTTTGTCTTCTTGTTGCCCAGTTTTCTTATTCTATTATCCATTTATCATGTCACAAAAATGGTTCTCCCCTCCTATTCTACACGATCCGCTAATGTTTTTACAATATCGGTTTTTTACCCTGTAACGTATCTGTGTAGATGAACATTAACTAACCAAGGTGTAATGTATTACAAAACAAAATGATTATAAAGCTATTTCTATTTGTCGCTTTCATTGTCAATAGGATAAGTCAATAATTTTAGCTGTCTTCATGTAAATACGGTCCGTCTGTCGCCAAGAGACAATTACTGGTGTAGGCATGTGTACTTTTTACCCTTGTCTATCATAAAGAGAGTTAACAATGCAAATAAGTATATCTTGACTTGTCAAATTGTAAGCACAAAACAGATCAACTGTGCATCTAACACTTCTTCGTTTAATATCAATGCAGGAATAAAAAGATTTAAAGAACATCTATCAAACGTCCATAGAAATGATTGGACTGTACAATGAAAAAAAAAAAAAACATAACAAAATTCAAATAAGATTAAAAATAGTTATAAATAGCTGAGCAGAAAAAAAGATTTTTTGGAGAAGTGTCTTAAAAAAATCTGAAAACACTTTTAGTGTTCAGAAATTGAAATATGTTTATGTCATTCGTTGGTAAAATTTATTTGAATATTTATTAAATTACTATGATCAAAATTAAATATTTTCTTCAAGTTATGGGTTAAATCTGGTTCACTTTTACATAAGTATTTACAAATAACCCTATTAACTGGTGCCAATGACAGTCATGGTGGTGTTTCAGAAATGATACGGTACTAATTTTTGATATGCATAATAATACAAAATATAAATATGTTCAAAATGTATAGCAGTCATTTATAAGCTAACACTGTAATAAACATCTAACTTGGAAATAACTTCAAAGACTTTACTCCCAACACATCTGACAATAACTAATGAATGATTACGTCACATCTTGACGACTGTTACCTGCAACTTTCAGGAGGCAGTATCATTTCGGCTTCAGTGTACCAACATGAAGTATTTACATCTAGAGTTAAAAGAGACATGCTTACCAAAACGTCGTGGGCCCATTA